GGGGGGGGGGGAGCTGGCTATTGGAGTGTCTCGAGGTCACCTGCCCAGGCCTAAAGCCTCAGCCAGTGGCTTTAGGCCTGGGCAGAGGCCGAGCCGGTGATCGGTGTGAACTACAGAGGAAATACCTTTTCTGACCACTCATTGGCTAAGCTCCCTGTATGCCACTGGTAATATTCTTAGTAACTTGGGTAATAAGAATCCATAAAGGTGATCTAGGGTTTTTCCATCTCACTCCTGGAGAAAAAAAGAAGGTCCGCTGCTGGAGGGCTAAGAAATGTCATATCCTGCCCTAGCCGGTTTGGCTCAGTGGATAATGCCTTGGCCTGCCGACCGCAGGGTCTGGGTTCAATTCTGACCAAGAGCATGTACCTAGGTTGCAGACTCCTCCCTGGCCGGGGCCCAGGTCAGGGCTCATGCAGGAGGCAACCAATCAAATTGTTCCTCTCACTTTGATGTTTCTCTCTGTCTTTCTCTTTCTCTTCCACATTCTCTAAAAATCAATGGAAACATATCCTCAGATGAGGATAAAAGATAAAATAAAAAAAGAAATGTCATATCCTATGAAAGACACATCTTAAAAATGCCTAAAGAAAGTTGTCATTTTTTCATGGTGAAGGGACTGCAGTCCGTGTTGATGAAAACACCTTGGTGGCTGCAGTGACTGGCAGTGGGGTGATGGGGCTGGTGCCTTCCCCTGATCAGCCTGGTCACCTCCCACAAAGGGAGGACAGATTGCGGCTTAGGCCCGCTCCCCAAGGGGAGCAGGGATCAGGCCTAAGCCGTCAGTAGGACATCCCCTGAGGGCTCCCAGTATGTGAGAGGGGGCAAGCTTGGCTGACGGACCCCCCCGCCCCGTGCACGAATTTCGTGCACCAGGCCCCTAGTGTTAATATAAAAATGTAGGGTTAAATATGTAAGGACAACCATTAGCAATATTAAAGACGGGAATCAAAGCACTAGATAGGAGAGAAAAGGAATAATAAAAATTTTACCATCTAGCAAAAATCAGGAAAGGAAAAATATGCAAACAAGAAAACATAAAAAGTTGGAAATAAAATATGAAAGGCATACCATGTCCTTCTTCATTATTCATCTGGAATTCATCTTTCCTCTCTCACACCCCATGTTTGTGTGGTTGATTTTTCCTTGGAAATAACTCTTGCGTCTGGCTCTTTTCATTCCAGCTGCCACCTCTCTTATTCCCTTGGTCCTGTACTAATGCAGTAGCTCTAGCACAATGTATCCTACCTTGGCCTCACCACAGCAACTAGAGCAGTCATCTTAAACATACTATTACACCCCTGCTCAAAAAGGCTCCCCATTGCTTACCATATACCCTTCTTATCTGATTTTCAAGACCTTCTATAATGTGACCCCAGCTAACTGTGTTTATCAATTCTAAAATATATTTTTAAAAATAAAAAGAACATTTAAAATATCTCTGAAATCCGAGTGCATCTTATTATTGATGGCGATCATGACATCAAAGATTTGATAAAATATGGTTCTTTTCTCAGTCCTTGCTTGGCTACAGGACACCTCTTTCTAGAAAACAGAACTTCTCATGTTGCTGTGCTATGATTCTTTCACAGCTCCAAACTTTTATTCAGACATTTTCCTCTGCCTGAGTATTTCTCTCCCACAGCCTCCCTTCCTAAATGAGCCCATCTTTGTTCACTATCTCAGCTGGAATCAACCTTCCCTTTGAATCCTCTGGGTTGTTTTTTGTTTTGTTTTTTTGGGGGGGGGGGCATGTTATAATTCTAGCAACTCTTATCACATAGTTCCTTTCAGTTTAAATACTTGGGTACATATTTGGTCTGTACACAGGACTGCTAGAGTCCTGCAAATCCTTGAGAAGGCAGCTAAAATTGTGACATTATCTGAAAGTCTATAGGTTTGTTTTGCTAATGCAATCCAGGACATTTCAAATAGTTTCTTTAAAAATCTGTGAGTCAGTAAGAGCTGTGCTCTGAACTGCCCTCTAGAGGTAGTACATCATCAGTGAGTCAGAGGCCAGAAAACCATGGGATCAGCAAGAGATAAGATGCCCAGCTGGGATGGGGAGCTGCTAGGAGTGGCTGCTCTATGGGCAGGACTCACTGATTGGCCCTGTTCCTGGGAGTAGCCATTGCAAAGGTCAAGCTCTGAAAAAACATGTTGCTTAGAAATTGCCAGCCTCTCCACCACCCTGTGTTTCATCATGATGTCTTGAGAGGGTGGGGCCGAGTGACAAACTCTTAGTTTTTCAATTTACCCTTCCCTCAGGAAGTCCAGAGGAGACTGCAAGTCTAAGAACCCTGAGTTACCTCAACTGGCACCAACAGGGAAACACTGAATGTAACCCAGCCCTGTTGGTGGGCGTAGCCTGGAAAGAGGACTGACTACGTGTGCACGTCATCGTCTGTGTATAATTCTTCTCTGTCATTACTCATTTTGAATTCTCCCAAGTTATATGCATAAATCTTTGCTGCAATACATTTATAGGGATTTCTCCCAGTAGACTTTTATGGCCACAAGAAGATAAACATTTGTTCAAATATTTTCTTGTTATTGCCATGATATTCTGTGGCTAAATTTTAAATGACTTGTGAAATTTCCTGCTCATTTATCCTCCCTAAGGCTAATGCCATTTTCAGTAAGGGTGTCCCAGTTAACCAACTTTCCATGGGTAATCTCTCCAGCCTCAGTTTCTACCAGCTGAGGGGTTAGATTCGAGAAGCTTGAAGTCCCTGCCAGCTTCAACATTCTAACATCTGCTCAGGACTCTTCGTAACCCACCTCCCAGGTTATTTAATGAGTTTGAAGCTCACTTTTCTCTGAGGCGAAGTGTGATCTGGGCATGTCCCTTGAAAGCCTTCCATAGGATATGACTACTCTCCATGACTTCACACCAGAAGGCCTTGAGTAAAGATCACTATTGAGCTGATTTTGCCAAAAGAAACAGTTTTGTTTTAAGAATGTTTTCCTTCCCCGGTCGATGTGGCTCAGTTGGTTGAATGTGGTCCCATGCACTAAGAGGTTGCTGGTTTGATTCCGGTCATGGCACATGCTAGGGTTGCAGGCTCGATGAATGTTTCTCTCTTGTTGATGTTTTTCTCTCTCCCTCGCCCTTCTTCTCTCTCTAAAAAATCAATAAAAACATAAAAAAGAATGTTTCCTCACTTAAAAAGTCTTAAGTGGTTATTACAGACAATGTATACAATATAGAAAACTATAAAGAAGGAAATAAGAATCACTTAAACTCTGACCTCTCATTATTAATACTATGGCATGTATCCTTACAATAATTTTTCTTTCCATGTATAATCACATGATTTTAAAATGTTTGATAGAAAATCGGAACCATACTTTTCAAACTGAGTTAATATCCTGGGTGCTGGTTATATGACTGTGTTCATTATGTGAAAATACAATGAACTATACACTCATGATAAGTGTACTATTTTGTATGCATGATGTACTTCAATAACACATTTAAATAAACATTTTATATTAATAAACTAAATTAGACACAGGAAGATCCATCTCTGTTAAGACTAGTGGTTCTTTTCAAGGTCTACCAGATTCAGCAAATAAAAATACAGGATGCCCAGTTAAAGTTGAATTTCAGATAAACAACAAATGATTTTTTAGTATAAGTATGTCCCATGTAATATTTGGGACATGTTTATACTAAAACAGTGTTCATTGCTTATCTGGAAGTCAAATATACTGACCATCCTGAATTTTATCTGGCAACCCTAGTCTTAAATCTTCTAAAAATGTATATTTTATTTAATGAGAAAGTAAAAACGGATATGTATTAAATGGTATATATTCAGGACATATAGTCTTAGAAGGAAATATTAAAATGTGTAAGTAAAGTGTAGGAGACAGAACTGAGAAAATAAGTGCTCTAGTTTTTTATTTTCTTTATTCATCCTTCATTTCATACCTCTCTTCTGTTGTTTTTGATTTCTCATTCCCACATTCATGTCAATAAAAAGAAGACAAATAAGCCAAAGAAATAAGATAGTGTCAAAATAATTTACGCTTTCATTTATTGAGTTTGAATTTGCAGCTCTGTTTGTTGTTGTTTCTGAAAATTTCATTTCTGATTTGTCTGTGTTCTTGTTTCCTATTTTTTAGTAAAAATATAACTGTTTTCTATTTCACTCTTTTTCAGAACTCTGTAACCTTTGCCCAGATGGAAGTTGAACCCTTCTCAGTATAATCAGTGTGGTTTTTTTTTTAAGGCTAAACTTGAAAAATCTATTTATTGATCTCAGACAGGTCATTTTCCCCTTTTCTCTTTCCAACAGTGTTAACTCATATGTGCCTGGTACATGTCAACTATTGTTCTTACAATTGGTAGCTTTGAACCAAGTTTTCAGAATCCATCTCACTTCCTTTTCTATGCTTCCCACTCTTAAAGGTGAGGAAATTCCAATACAAATTGTTTAGTACAACTAGACTCTGTCAGTAAATGGAATCAAGTCCCAAAGGTTTTATGCTTTGACACATTTCCATTATATATGGGTGGTAATAAAATGAAATTATTTCCTGCTTCCCCAAAGGCTTCCAGGTCATAATTTTGAACACCCAGAGTGTTACCACTTTAGAGTAAAATTCTCAAATCAAAAAGCATTTAAACAGTAAGTACATCTCCTAAAATACTTGAGGAGAGGGATGAAGGAGAAAAAGAAGGAAACTGCATATCATAAGGTGTCTCAACAAACCACATTTGGAACCATTGCTTTAAAGGCTGGCCACCCAATCTTTTAGAAAGTTAGTGGTTTTTCTGCAATATTGCCAACTAATGTATATTTCTGCTTGAATCACTTCACTAATTGTTGATCCAGTGATTTCTAAATGACTCCAGGCAACAACTTTTACTAATTATTTTTCACACAGGTGATTGAATTGACTGGTTATCTTGTTGTCATGGAGACTAAACCTTTTAAAAATTATATACTAGTACATATAATTTATATATATTACTCCTGTGTTAATAACTTTTACTATTAGCAGTTACCTTCACTAAGGAGGGGAGGCAGAATGATAAAGGCCTAATACATATGTGCACAGGAGAATTTTAAAATGCACAAAGACACATTAGCATGAAAGCATCACAAATTATGCAAAAGAAAGCATTATGAAACCATATTGGTATAGATACATAAATCAAATAGCTCTGAATTTTTCAGTAAACTTCTTTCATAAGCAAAACCACAATGAGATATCACCTGACACCAGTCAGAATGGCTGTCATCAATAAATCAACAAGTGTTGGCGAGGATGTGCACTGTTGATGGAAATGTAGATTGGTGCAGCTACTGTGGAAAACAGTATGGAGTTTCCTCAAAGTATTAAATATGAATCGCCCCATAGGTGATTCCAAGATCTGGTGGCATTTGCTTCTGGGGCACCACCAAACTCGACCAGAAAACAAAAATTGAAAATGGAACTGCCTTTTGACCCACGATCCCACTTCTGGGAATACATCCTAAGAAACCCGAAACACTAATTCAAAAGAATATATGCACCCCTATGTTCATTGCAGCATTATTTACAATAGTCAAGATCTCAAAACAGCCTAAGTACCCATCAGTAGATGAGTGGATAAAAAAGCTGTGGTGCATTTACACAATGGAATATCACTCAGCAGACAAAAAAAAAAAAAAAGGAAATCTTACCTTTTGTAACAGCATGGATGAACCTGAAGATTATTATGCTAAGTGAAATAAGGCAGTCAGAGAAAGACAAGTATCATCTGATTTCACTTATATTCAGAATCTAATGAATGAAATAAATTAACAAACAAAATAGAAACAGAGACATGGATACATGGAACAGACTGACAGCCATCAGAGGGGAGGGTGGTTGGGGGACTGGATGAAAGAAGGTGAAGGGATTAAGCAAAAACAAAACAAAACAAAACAAAAAAACACCACAAAACATATATGCATAACACATAGACAACAGTGTGGTGATAGCCAGAGGAAAAGGAGGGTGAGGGGTAGGGGGAGGTGGGCAAAAGAGGCAGGGAGGATTGGGGGTGGAAAGAGACCTTGCTTGGGAGGCTGGGGGAATGATGCTGTGTACAGATGATGTTTTATTGAGTTGTACACTTGAAACTTGTATGGTTTTGTGAACCAATGTTAACCCAATAAATTCAATTTAAAAATAAATTAATTTTTAAAAACTTCCTTCATAAGCATTACTAAAGGTCTGTTAATCAATAGAAGACTTATACAATTGCAGAACCTTTAACAAGTCTAATAGTATTTTCAAGTCTAATAGTTTTCCTGCAAATGCAATAGTGATGTGTAGCAACTAAATAAGCTCCGAGGAATGTGCTGGGTTGTTAACAATTACCACTTACTTGCCCTTGTAGTCTAACATTTCTATAACATAAAAGGTCTCAAAAGTCTGTCCCCACCTACTTTTCCAACCTTATTTACCGTAACTCCCTCACCTGCCTTGAGTTATTTCTGGCCAGGTCTCTTTGTTGGCTCTAGAAAAATGTCTCCATCCCCCTGCCAGAGTGCCACCTTCTTCACTTCCTCCCTGCTGGCCAAAATACTTCCCACTGGCCAGGCCCAGCTCAAAACCCACCACCTTCATTGAATTACATCTGCCCACTCTAGTCCATAGCCATCTTTTCTTTTGCCTAGCTGTATTATTAAATTACTGTCTATACCACTAATGTGGTATTTTATTAACATACTAGAGGCCCAGTGCACAACATTCGTGCTGGGGTGGGGGCGTCTCTCGGCCTGGTCTGCACCCTCTCGCAGTCTAGGACCCCTTAGCGGACATCCCCCGAGGTGTCCTTAGTGCCAGCCTTCTGTTGGCTTCTGGTTGAGTGGCACTCCCCCTGTGGGAGCACACTGACCACAAGAGGGCAGCTCCTGCATTGAGCATCTGCCCCCTGGTAGTCAGTGTGTGTCATAGTGACTGGTCGTTCTGTAGTTTGGTCAATTTGCATATTAGACTTTTATTATATAGGACTAGCTTACACCATCTTCTGCAGCATTTCCTTAGAGTTAATATTCATGGGTTTGTGAACATACTTTTATACATTATAAAGCATCATACCAAGGTAAATATATGATTGTCTTTATTAACTAGTTTATAGCCCCCCTCAGATGAGGATTGTGCATACATTTTTTTTTTCATGACATCTAGGAGAGCAGTGCATACTCCATGGCCCCTCAATTAAAATCTTCTGATGAATGAAAGCATGGAAGACCAGAAGAATTGGAGGTAAACCACCAAAGTTCGCATTTGTCACTTTTTACCTGTCTGAATTTAAACTAGTTATTTAGTCTTTGTGTCTCAGTTTTCTTATCTGCAAAATGAGGATAATAATGGTATCTACTTCATAGAAATGCTTTGAGAATTAAATAAATTCATACATGTAAAGCCCGTAAAATAGCTTGCTTAGTGCATAACAAGTACTCGATAAATATTAGCTATTTGAATGAATAAATGAAACAGGATAGGTTACAATGAAAATCTAGAGAAAACAATGGCTACTTTTTGTTACACCTGGGACCATGATTATAAAATGACATGTAGTATATATGAATGTCAAGGGAAATTAGTATATATCTTTGAGATATAAGGCAGGATGTATATAGTTATTCCTAGAGAGATTCTTCAGAATGAAGTTTATATTCTGTACTAGAGGCCCGGTGCACAAAAATTTGTGCCCTCGGGGAGGGGGTTCCCTCAGCCCGGCCTGTGCCCTCTCGCAGTCTGGGACCCCTCGGGGGATGACCACCTGCTGGCTTAGGCCTGTTCCCTGGGGGATTGGGCCTAAGCTGGCAATCAGACATCCCTCTGGCAGCCC